GCCCCGCCCCCACCTCCGCCAGCGACATGGGCGGCTGCCGCGGCAGGAAGAGCGCAGTGAGGTCAGCCTTCATCTGGTCTTTCTTCTCGGCGTCGCGTTTCACCTTCCCAGAGAGACCCGGGCTCTGCAGCACGGCCTCCGCGTTGCGCGTGTAGTCCACCGTCAACACATCGTCCCAATTCTTGAACTTGGCCTTGAACACCTGCCAGGGAGGCCATCAACTAACCATGAGGGGTGCGGCATGGTTAAGGTTAGGGTTGGAGGAAGTAGCCTGAGGCTTGAGGCGGGACTCTATAATAGAGATCTAGGGCGGGGCTTGGGAGGCGGGGCCTCGGACACGGAGGTAGGAATACGAGTGGTAGCTTGCAGAGGGGGCGGGGTCTGGGCAGAGTCAGCAAAGAGGAGGTGGGTTTGGGCCCAGCTCTGTAGGGAGACAGTGGAACCACAGGAGTCAGGGCATGTCAGGGTGTAAGGGTGTAAAGGATGCTGGGGAGGGGCCTCCGAAGCAGCAAGCACACCTGCGCCTCGGTGCCCTCCAGGCTGCGGCTGACCGTGGCATGGCGTGGCCGGTGCAGCATCCCGCACAGCTCCTGACCCAGCTTGAGGGCAGCAGCGCGCACCAGGCGCGGGGACTTGCGGCCGAGCCAGATGAACACGTCAGACCAACAGTCCAGAATGTACACGCAGCGTGTGTCCAGCAGACTCTGCAGCTGCAGACCGGGAGCCTGGAGGTCAAAGCCCAGCCAACAGGGAGGGATCCGGCCCCGCGCCCTCCTCCTGCATCTCTTACCAGCCGCATTCTTGGCATCAGCTCCACCTTGGGACGCTGCTTATGTTCCACGGAGAGCTTGTAGTTGATCTGCGGCAGCTCCAGGTAGCCCAAGCCCAGGCCCACCTGGCAGGAAGGATGAGCATGGCAGGGAAGGGGTCTGGAGACAGGAACCTCACCCACACAGCCCTCTGCTCTGGAACCAGCCCTGCCCTGCAGCGTGGCTCACTGACTGCTCCCGTTTCCCCCTCCCTGTCAAGGTCTTTTTAGGCATATCCTTTCAGAAGGGCTTTTAAATGCCTGCCCTCTCCAGGCCCTTCATGTCATTTCTAATTCTCTAACTTGTCCCTTTCCTGTTCACAAGAATCTGGATAATTGAGCCAAGGTTCCCAGCCCTGGCACTAGGCGCTTCTGTCTCCCCTCCCGCCCCACCATCCTGGAGAGACTCACGTCAGGCTACTTCTCAAAAGCAGCCTCCGGACCTTTGCTCATACTGTTCCTTGTCCAGAAGGTGGCACCCTCTCCCCACCAAAGCCGAGATGGAGCCCACAGCCAACTACATTGGTGTGTAGCCTATTCCCCCAGTCAGCGGGTCAACTTGGGAGGCCACGGTGGGCCTCAGCAGCAGGGCTCACCTTGTACAGCTTGGGCTGGGGTGGCCAGAAGTCATCAGGCACGTGCTTCTTGATCTCAGAGGGCTCCCCACCCAGTGCCTCCCAGAACTCTGGGAGCTCCTGGCCCTGCACCAGCAGTGTGATCTCGGCCTTCCCTTTCCGCTCATTCTTGTTAATTTTCTCTGCAAAGAGCCTGAGAGCAGGATGCAAAGTCATCAGCGAGGCTCGCACCCCTTTCCTTCGCACAAAAGACCCCACGGTATCCTCGTACCTGGCCTTGGTGGTGCTGCTCAGTGTGGCCTGGGCCCCCCGCCACACGTAGATGTCTAGCCCTCGGTCCAGAAGGAAAACAAACCTGGACAGGAAGGGGCAGGAAGGAGCTGTGATGGGGCATGGGGCAATGGTCACTCCATACTCCTGACCCCACCAAAAAAATCCCTCACTATGGGGTTTCTAGGTAAGCCTCAGGGATCCCCTGCTAAGCTCGTGGGCAGGAGTTAAAGGGGTTGCTAGAGGGCCTCCTCTTCTAAGAGGCCCACACCTGCCCCCACTGGTGGGGAGGAGGCTGAGGGTGAAGCACCTCCACCTCACATTGTTGGGGCTCACCTTGGGTCCAGAGAGGCTCCCTTGAGGGGCACAGGTTCCAACTTGATGTTCTTTTTCCCATACACACGATACATCCTGGGCGCAGGACAAGAGTGGCTCAGTGTAGGCACCAAGGGCCTAACTTAGGCCCAACACCCTCCCCTCCACCCCTTGCCAGCAGACTCCAGGTCCACGCCCCCCACTGCCCCCATGCCCTCACCTGGTGACGTAGTGTGTGTCTTCCACAGTGTAGAAGCCACTGGCTGTTCCACCCTCAATGTAGGAGATGTCGTTGTCGAACACCTGTGTGTGTGAGGGTGTGGTTCTTCATCACTGAGCTGCTCCCTCCCCCACCAACCACTGCCT